TTGCTGAGGTGATGGCAAGTGTACAGCAGGCATACCACTGAGAGATGGACAGTGTTGTTTGTGTGTAAGATCCAGGCCTTTCTTGCAACACAGCTAGTGCACCAATAAAACACTGCAGGTTTGAACTTGAGCAAAACCTCTGAGGGACCTCCGCTGAGCAATGCAGGCAGAGAGGGAAGGGAAACAAAGCATGAAAGAGCCTAAATAGGGCAGTACAAAAAATGCCAGGGATAAAAAGAAAGGAAACTGAACAGCTGAAAGAGGAAAGGAGGAGAGAGGATTAATACTGGCAAGATTAATGAAAGGAAAAAGAAGAACTGAGATATTAAGGGAGTGGTCCTGGGGAAGAGCAAAACAGGGCCATATGGATAAAGTGGGAGTGCTGGACGTCTAGTGAAGGCCAAAAAAAATCTCAGCTGTGCAAGGGTGAAATTGCTCATTACAGGAAATCCCCTTGTTCCAGAGAGAGACTACCAGCCAAGAGAGGCTAGGCTGTCCATCAAGCTAATTCACTGTTCTGTCTTCTCTCACACACTTAAAATCTTCACATGGGCTTCAATAAATGTCAAAGTTGATCTTACTCATGCAAATTGTTCTGTACATTATGTATTTTCTAGCAAGTACTATTTGCACTACTGTATGTACATGTGAACTCCTATGCTTCCTACAGGAAAAAGGACATATCTTTATCATTTCTGCTGACTTTCCTGGGCACGTCCTAGGCGGGGCTTCCTATTACGTCACTAGCAAACATTTCTCATGCCTGTGCAACCACTTGAAAAAATAACAACTGTCAGTTACCTCAAACAAATGGAATTCTACATTTGTGCCAAGTTGCTGGAGAACATAGGCCTGCAGAGTGCAATACTCTGCGTGGATGCACTGCAAGCGTTAAATGTGTTCTGGCAATTTGGGTGGTGTTCATAAGTGTTTCATGGATTCTTTATTAAATCTGATTCTTTTGGATAACAGCTGCGTGATATTTGTCTCATCTTTCATCACTTGTCCTTGGGTGAGATGGTCACACCGTTTCAAATGTAGCTCCTGGCAATGAGCTTTCCAGTTGGCTACACATAATTCAGCTAATTTACGCCTTGATTATGCGAGAACCTTAACTATACATTTCACACGGTGCCAGCTGAAAGAAAACCACCACAATCCAGCAAAATAATTTTCCCACAGTTCACTATGATCAAAGCTTTCTTGCCCAGCCATCAGTCTATCAGGTTTATTTTCTCCTATCATTCCCAGTGAGCACTAACGGGCATATTTAATGTGAGGTGGCAAGATGAGGGAGCTTGATGTATTGCCTTACTGCTTAGTTATAGGGAAAAATATGCCTTTGGTTTGTTTCCCATAAGAGAAAATGCTAATGCCCATAACTGAAAGCAAATGTGAATTCCCAGAGAATCTAGGGTTTAAATGTTCCTATGGTTCATGGGAGCGGAAATTCAGTATGACACAGTGAAATAAAAATTTCATCTTATATAATTCTCAGCTGTTACTCATCATATACAGAGGACATCCTTTGTGCTTTATGGTCAAGAGTGAAGCGGAGCTTACCCAGGTAAATTCTGGTTCCCATGGGTACAGTCTGGCCTATAAATGCAAATCAGTGCGAGGAAGTGGAGGAAAACCAGTAAAATGAACCAATATAGACCTCACCTGCTTTGGATTTGCAGATGTTAAGGAGTGAACAAACCATCTCCATATCAGCATAAGCTGTTAACACAAATGCCGCTGTAAATGTTGAGCCAGTGCCTGAATGGTCTGAGGTCATGACTTGGCACTAAGTACAGTGTATTGTACAGTCAGGGGGATCCAAGTTAGCATGGATGGGAGGGATGTGCAGTGCTGCCTGGCGCTCTATCCATGGGAAAGCCCCTGTCTCCAGTGCTCCTGTTGTTTCATGTGTTCTTAACAATTTTGAGCTCTCGAGCCACAAACTTAGCGAATTTTGCTAACTGCTTGGTTAGATAAGTAAGAAGACAAATAGAAAAGTGAGGGAAGCAATCAAGAATAAAACAAAACATGTTCCACGTTTAGGAAACTATACATCTTTTAGGGTACAGTATATTTATGTCATTAAGTGTCATTAAAATATCTAATTGGCCTATAAAGTACAGCAAACCACCAGCTATCAAAACTCATGAACAGTCAGAACTCAAGTCAGTCATCAACTTTTTGACCATTGGAGTCTGGGGACTAACAAGCTACAGACGCATGTGAAAAATATACTTTTAAAGGTTATAAATTAAGTTCAGCCCATATGAATAGCTTTATGTTTATTTTTTCCTTGTTCACAACAGTATCTGTTGAGGCAGGCGTCTTTCACAGACTACAAGAAAGCATCAGACTCCACTTTACTGTGTTTTCCATGAAAGATGTTCATACTTACCCAGTTACAGTACTTGCTGTCATCAGAATAAAGGAAATTTCTGATGTAGCTAAATGCAAACCAGACAGGACATTAAAGATCGTAGCAGGCAAGAACTTTGTGTTCGGGGCTTTTATTTTGTTAATTTGTCTTACATTCAGGTTGGCCTGGTGCCGGACCAGACATCATCAAAAGAGGGAACAACATCTAAAGTTCTGACAAACTGTGCTTATAAAACCAATGAACATCAGCTCACACATAAAATAAATCCTACATCTGTTTCCATTACACTGTATCACTGCAATCAACAACATAATAGAACTATGTCTTAGTTAGTTTTTCTGTCACCAAAATTATGGCAACTGTCTAGGAAGATTTAATTTCTACTCTAGAAGAAAACTGGATCTACAGAACAATCTAAAGGTGACAGGAGCTCAAACATGCAACAGAATTTGGAAAAATAAACATTCTTTAAACACCCCTAACACTAACATGAGGTCTTGGCTGTGTCTGGGCATGACAGTAGTGTTTGAACAAGTGTATCCTTTCCCCATTCTTGAGGCATTTCAAAACGTCCATCCTCATTTTTCATACAGTATAAACTGAAGTTAAGTTAAAACAAACTGGAGTTAGCACATCTGAAGAGACCAGTCCTGAAATTGGAAGTGTCAATCCCTGAGAAAAGGTAACTGAAGTCTTTCACAAATTGGATAGGCTACTCTTCTACCTTCCTTTTCAACTTTCTGCTCTTTGATTTCTTCTTCCACCTTCTTTTACCAAGATAGTTGGTGAATAAGTTATTGTATCTCTCATCCTCTTCTTGCTCCTCCCTCTCATCTTTGTACCAGGGTCCCCATACACCCCCGTTGTACTGCGGGTTAGAGCGCAGGTCTTTAGATGGGTAGCGTACCGGCACTGCAGTCTTGTTGTACTGTACTAGCCGCACTAACATCTTTTTCACTATATGTGGGTAGCGCTGAGACAAGTCCACTCTCTCATAAGGGTCAGCTGTGATATTGAACAGCCAGACAGACTTACCCCGGTCCCAATGGACACGCTCGTTATGCCAACGATTGGTCAGCCTCTGGTTAGAGAAGGTCTGTGGGGGCACCCAGTCACTGTAGCCGGGCACACCCGTCAGCAGCTTCCAGTGGCCCACACGGATCGCAGCCTGAATGGCTGTGTTCCATAAGCCATACCCAGCCTTCCATGAACCATTCTTGGCCTTGATGTAGATTGGGTCAATGTTGTGAAGAATGTCCTGACGAGGTGATGGGTGGCCTTCACTGATAGCTTCCCAAACATCATACCCGTCCAGATTTAGATCCTCGTCTAAAGTCCCTTCACCCAGGGTTATCAGAGTGGGGAACCAGTCAGTGATATGAACCAAAGAATGACATTTTGTCCCTTTGTTCACCAAGAGGGGACTATGAACAAATCCTACTGCCCTGATCCCCCCTTCCCAGTAGGTAGCCTTACTCCCTCTCAGGGGCCAGTTGCTTCCACCCGCAAATGGCTGCCCACCATTATCTGATGAATACACTATAACTGTGTTGTCATAATAACCATAGCGTTTTAGTGCTAACGTAAGGTTGTGGATGGCTTCGTCCAGGCAGGATACCATGGCAGCATATTTACGACGATGCAAGTTTGGAATGCCCTTGTAGCGCTCAAGGTAGCGGGCAGGAACCTGTAGAGGAGAATGAACTGCTTGATACGCTAAGTAGAGAAACAAGGGTTGTTTGCGAGGGTTATGCCTGGCTAGGATACGGATAGCCTTTCGAGTAAACATTACAGTAGAGTACAAGCCCCGGTCCTGCTCCCACGCTGCCTCTTCTCCTTCATACAAATCATAGCCACAGATACCAGGTGCTTCACATTTATAGTGACTGTAGTAGTCCCCACTTCCTAACAGGGAACCAAAGAAAGTGTCGAAGCCACGCTGGGTGGGCAGGCAGCCACGCTTGTAGAAACCCAAGTGCCACTTGCCGATCATGTGGGTGGAGTAGCCCGCTTGCTTGAGCTTCTGGGGCAGGGTGACATTTTCCAAGGGCAGGCAGTTGGGTTGGGTAGCTCGAATGATGGAGTGCTGAAGTCCTGTATGGATCTGATACCTACAAAATAAAAAGAGATATCTCCCTGTCATAAACATAATTAAATTTTAAAAAATTATCAGGTAGAAAATGTGTGGAAAAAATGCAGTTAGTTAAATGTTGTAGGTACACTTCCCTTGAAACATACATGCTACTGAAAAAGACCATTAGCTACTACAAAAGAAACTAATCACTGTAACTGAGGGAAACCTAGGTGTGATGATTCAGTCTACCATGACATTATAGCTGATGGTATTATACCTTTTCTTTCTTCTACTAAATGACATTTATGACTTGACTGTTTCCAAAAATGCTGAAAAACCTAAAAAGAAAAAAACTAAATTCTGTCAGAGTTGAACAACCCACTCACAAACTGGTCCAGATAGAAAAATAGGGCCTGCTGCATTATTTTTATTTATATAATGTTCACACGCTACTGTATGACATTTCAACAAAATAATCAAAACACAGGAAACACAACCAACATAGGTTTATGAAAGTCAAGACTACAATATTCCCAAAAACAAAAGACCCATCACTCAAAGCCAGACAGGAAGCAGTTGTGAACTGGAGCTAATGATACTGTGCATTATTTTAGCAGCATGCCATCACAGCGCTAGAAGAACAAGAGAAGGACAGACAATGCATGATGAGGCTTTTGATATAAACCAATATAATTTTCTCACTAATGTATTTTCAATACAAAATGTCTATTTGACTTTTATTGACACTGTACAAAGATCTCTTCAATAGAACTGTTGATGAAATACAACTCGACACAAGCACCACCAGCCAATGAACTTTAAAGACTCTCCCAATCTTGCACTGCATCTTCAATTACACAATGATTGTGAACGTCATCGCTTATTACCTTATGCCTTGTTAACAAAACCAGTTGCTTACTGGATGCTGTGTGGAGCTGGGTATTGAGCCTTGATACTTTACATGTAGTGCTTAAAATGTGTTTGTAACATTGTGTATTGAAAATTTAAAGGTCTTTTCATGCTGGAGGTGGTCCATCTCAGGCCAAAACTGAAAGCTGCGAAGCCTGACGCGATGGGCTGATCAGGCAAAGTCAGAGCTACAGGCTTGCTTTGACTGCACAGATTGGAGTGTATCTGAGGCTGTGTGTCTACAGACCTGGATGTACTCACTGACACTGTGACTTCAAAGATCAGCTTTTCTGAGGATGTGTGTGCTCACCAAGACCTTCTGCACATACAACAACCCCTGGTACACAGTAAGACTCAAGCAGCTTTGTCGTGCCAAAGCAGAGGGCCGACAGAAGTGGGGCCAGCATCCTGCACAGGCAGGCCAGGAACACACTGACAAGGGAGATCGGAGTATCAAAGAGGAGCTACTCTGAAAAGCTGAAAAACCAGGTTTCTGCCAACGACCCCTTGTTGCTCTTTTTGAATACACTCATTGTTGGTCCATCACACTCCTGCCGATGTTGGTGTGCTCTATTTGAGTGTCCTGCAGTCAATTAAAACTAGGAGCTATGGGATTAGTTTTATGACCTTAAAGCAGCCATGCCAACATTATCATTATTGTGAAAGTGTTTCTGGCCTACAGGGAGGCATGCCTGGCTGAGACAATAAGCTCTAACTTCATTCGTCTGAAAGAAAGACACCTACTCTACTGAGGTTAGTGGTGTGAAGTCAATCTGTCACCAGGGGAAGGCAGTAAAAATAAGTGTCTGGTTTAGGTGTTCAGGGGAGGAGGATTCAGATGGAGGAAAACCATAAGGTTGGTCAGGCCCAGCAGGCCTCTACTCCATACGGAGTCGCCAGTGTGGTGTGTCCAACATTCCAAACAGTAATAATCCCAGTGATTTAGAACTCAAATCCTGCACTCAACAAAAACAATACAATACAAACGGCCCCATAAAACCATAGACTGCAGCTGCACTCAGATGCAGTACACACCTGCATGTAGGAACCAGTTTATAGGAGCTTCATTTTCATTTTGGTGAAGTTTACTCAACTGCAGTATGATGTAAAGAGAACTGTGATATGTCATCTTAAACCATTAACAGCTAACAACAAAAAGTTATTTATACCTCTGTCATGTCAGAAATAAAGTCCACTTCTGATATTTTAAGCAATAAAAATTCACAGAAACATCCCTGATTTTGATGTCACCACTTAAGTATTTCTGTGTATTGTAGTTTTCCAATTTGGGCAGGGAACACTTGATTTTTCCACATCATTCATTTTCCCTCATGAGGAATTAATTAATTCCTTGGCTATTCATCTGGTACCTACAGGTCAAAATTGGTTCAACACAAATACTCCATTCCTTTCAACATCAGCTGTACTTTTTAACATTTTTTATCTTTACTCTTTTTTTAACATTGTCACTGTGAGCATGTTAGCATGTTGACATTAGCATTCAGTATAAAGCAGCCTCACAGAGTTGCTTAATCAGGAGAGCTGTTTGTAATATGCTATTGAACAGTGCATTTAAAAACTTTATTCTGATTTCTTCAGTGTAATCACTGTCATTATTCTTTTCCCTTGTTCTTGCTACTCGTTCAGTGCTACTTTTCAGACATTTGATGGTAATGATCAAGCTGTTGCTACAAATGCGTGATGAATTAATGAAATATAAATTGGCACAAGCATACTTATTGATCACAGATTAAAAATGGCAGGTCACCTCTGCAGTTGGCGCAGCAAGTTATTAAACAGTGTGCTGACTGCTGATGTTAGTTGTAGAACATGGCAGTAACACATGCTGTATGTGTGGAGTGTGTTTGTGTGTGACAGCTCAGACCTCACCACCTCCTCTAAACAATTTCCAGGGGAAACCCTGACCACTGGCCTACATCATCATTAGTGTGTTTTAATGCCAGCTGCAGTTAGCAGAGACATTCTGGAGGAACTTAGGATCACTTTGCTAAAACAAAATGCCATGTGGTTTTGATGCCTCCAGAACATTTGGAAATCATGTTAGGGTACAGCAGTGTTTACAACTTGGCAAAATGGATTCCCACAGGTTCCCAGGAGATTTAAAATGTTTAATTCCTTAGGATCATAATACAGCACAATTCTGAATTTGATACCTCTATTCATTGCAAGTAGCTGAGGTCAGGTAGGTGAATTCTAAATGAGATCACATCATCCCTGATTGAAGCCAAGAGAGCGCTTGGTTTCATATGAGAAGAATTTCTTGTCACTTGGTGGTCTAGGCAGGGGGAGCTCTGAAACCCAACTACAAACATGCATGCATAGAGCTGGATAGAGGAGGCATTGTTGGTCTGCAATTAGGCAACCAGATTCAAATGCAGTGAACTAAGAAAAGGATGGAAAGAAAGGAAGAAGAAAAACCAACGTGTTTGTGGGTAAGACAACAACACCAACAACACAGAGTCAACCAAGAGTGGCAGGGGATGGTGTCTGTCTTTAGAACAAAAGACACTGAACAAAAAGAGACACATAATTACGTCAATGAAAAATGAGTACTTGTAAAACCTTGTTCCACGTAATCTCTCCATACTGTCCACAAGCAAAGTACATGGTGGATTTAGCCTTGTTACTTGTCCATAAATGTCCAAACTTTATGGATTCAATATGCTCCATTACCTTTTATTCAGTTCATTTATATAAGCTCAAAAAAACGTAGAAAAAAAATCAACTGGACTTGGTTTTAGGTCGAAGACGTTTCACCTCTCATCCAAGAGGCTTCACAATGGATGACTCAACTGCAAAAGTGAATAGAAAAACAAGAATAGAGCCCACATACATGTGCAAATGTATTAAGACATGTGCGAATGTGTCTAAAATTCAGCCCCTGAAGAGCACCTACCCCCACTCTCACAGCTCCTACAGGTTTGGTGGTGTTCACATACCAAAAGGTTACAGCCGTGTAATTAGAATGTCATGCTAAGTGCAGTTGTGATCCTTCCACAAATCAGTCAAACCAGCCGAGGTCTTGACGCAGAATGGTACAAGGCGGAGTGCAATGACTTTCAATGATTCTCTTTGACATACAAAAGGGCTCACAAAGGAGCTAGGCCTTGACCTTGCAGCTTTGTAATCCTCTGGTGTACTTACACAATTGCCCCATCTTTAGTGTTTATGAGGCTTTAAAATTGTGACTATAGTAACTCCTGCTCTCTGGAGGTTTTATCTCCTGTCCCACACTCCCTCTGCATGTCTTATGTTACTGATTTTTATACTGGGGTCAGGTACCTCTGCATCCTTTATCCAACATGGATTCAAGCCACGCACAGGCAGGGGAACACTAGCAGACAGTGGCTCAGTACCATATCTTATCAAGCCAAATAGTGCTGCTGCATTCCTCGAGTACGAAACAGAGTTATGGTCTTAAACACCACTGTAATAATGCCGTCTCTCTGGTGTACTTACACAATTGCTGAACCACAAGGCTAACAAATCACACACACCATTAAATTTGAATCACCAAGGGCCAAGTCCCACAATACAAGTGCACTGGCCACTGCTCCAGCCACTGAGGTTGTGGAGGTTCCCAAGCAGACCTGCTGCCCAGGCTGAAGCCTTCTTTTATAATCCTAGTCCACATCTTGCTCACATATGGTTCAAATAAGCAGCCTCAACCCAGCACTCTGCATTTAATCAAAGTCAGCCCTGAAGCATTTTATCTTACTCACTTATTTTTCATTTACCCTCCTTGCTATATCTGAATATCTCCCTTCAGTGTTGACCCTTTCTTAGCTTTTGTCATCTTAGTAGAGGTAATGAACAAATTTTCTCCTGTTAAGACTTTCCCTTCCACATAATCAGAATCCTAACAACTCTAGAAATCTTGCCTAGACATCATCTCAAACATACACTTGCGCTGTTCATCACAGTGCCACACAACCCTGAGTTCAAGCACACACTGGTATAAGCTGAGGGAGGTGTTGAATAAGTAACAGGCCACTGAAACAGCAACAAAAGGGTGACTGAGAAGTTAAGACGAGTTTGAAATAGGTGTGGACAGAGGAAAAGTGTGTGAATAAGTAGGAAATGTAAGTAGGAGATGTAGTGGGTGAAGAGCAGACTGAAAAAGAACTGCCTCAAGCAAATAAGGGACCCACTCTCCTTGATTCCAGAGGCCTAATATAAAGATGTGGTGTTCAAGGATGACAGGAGAGCTTTTTGGAATTCAGCTGCTATCCTTGCTAGAGGACTGCTCCACAGTGCCCGGAGTACATTTTTCATCTGTTGTTTGTTGACAGACACTAGCTCGTTCAGCTACAGATTTCAGAGCCTGGTAATGAAATTCATTTACTTTTAAATCAGATTTTTCCTCTCTTGATAAGGACTATGGCTTAAACTTCTGTGACCAATGGAAAAGATAATCTGGGGGACGATGATGACAAGACTACAGCCATCTGTACAGCACATTAACCTGTCTGAGATGAAAAGGATACAATAAACCAATTATAATTTGCTATGATTTGTATTTATCACAGTCTTACCCACATGTGTGGAGCTAACCAAAAGTCAAGAAATGAAGCGCAAAGGTTTAAACAGTCAGCTGCTGATACAAGAACTGAAAGGTGTGTGTCTGTATGGAACATGCCAGAAAGTCCACATGCTAGATTAGTCCGGACAAGTAATTTGACACAGCTCACAAACTCTGGAATATTCATCTTCCACGCTGCAGGAGTGTGTTTACTTAATTCTAAAGGATACAAAATAGAAAATGAAAGTTTCATAAATATCTGTCTACCATGTCGTACCTGCATTCCTCTAATATATATTTAATATTTTTCAATTTTAGGGGCTCACTGAGGAGCAACCTCTGGCCCTGCCTTTGGCAACCCACTTCTCTTGATCAGGACAGATCAGCGGGAGGGTACTGGAGCCGAAGAGTAGCTCCAAAGTAGAGGGAAAGCTCTGACTTTAAGACCCTAATTTCATCTGTGCAGCTTAAAGGAAACAAGACATTGAAATTTTTCTGATGCCTTGAGTTTCCCAGGGGGCAGTCAGTGTAGGGATTGTTTCTCAAATTCATGTTACTGTAAGTTTTAGAGTTAGAGCATTTGGCTGTACATAACTGCTTCTATTGGTCTGCCAGGTCATTTATTTGACTGCATTCCAAAGTAAAACATGTCCTAACTATAGACTCAAATAAGTCATGGTTATGTATTTATCATAGGCAGGTGGTTCCTAACCTGGGCAGCAGGATCCCCAAAGGGGTTGCAGGATAAATCTAAGGGGGTCATAGAAAGGTTAACAAGATGGGAAATAAGAAAGTAAACAATCTGCAACACAAATTTTTTTTCAGCCTTTCCTCCCATTTTTGGTATTTTATTGTTAGATTCTAGAGAGAACTGAACATCGCACTCACAGACACATGCAACCTGAGATAAGGTTGTAATCCTTGCTTTTGTCATAAGCCACAAAGGTTGGGACATCTACTTATATCTTACATTTCCACCAAATTTAGCTTTTTTGAAATCTAGACACATCTTGACCTGCACATAATAACAAAGAGGCATTTGGCCTTGGTTCCACAACTGGAAAACCACAGAATTAAGAAACCTGGTATAACTCTCTCTGTGATAAACTGCAAACCAGCTTCTGATATGTTTTGTTATTTATCAAGTGGGTTGGGAGTCACTGGAGTAATGTTTTTGGCTTTTGTTGCATTAGTTTAGTTTGATGGTTTTTAGTTAAGAGGGAATCCAGTGTGGTTCAGGGTTTCCTGTTCATCTCGTTTGTTTCAGTCAAGCTCCCATTATCTTCATTTTGGTCTTTTATAAGCAGGTGATTTTGTGTTATCGCTTTATCTTTTATCAGCTATGTGGTCTGTCATCGATTCCTTTGAGCCATGGTTATGTAGACACCATAACAACCAGTACATTCTGGGATAGCTTTCAAAATGCATTGGGCCCTGAATGGGAAAAGTGAATGTAACAGGGCTGTCACAGATCCTCGCTGGTGTAAATTGTTGGCGTAGTGTTACTTAAATGGCTCCTACATGGGTAATGCTTTATTTTTGTAGCTCTGGCAATCAGTTCTGAGTTATGAGAACATAATTCTTGCCTAATTAATTGTTGGGATCTTGGAACGCAGCAATATCATAAATAGATCTAACAAACACAAGTAGTCACACGATCAGACAGGTTATGAAAAAGCCAACACATTATTCGGATTCTCTAAATCTCTATTTAGATGTCAAACTATAGGTGAGTGCACCTTATTGGCACTAATAATCCCTCATCACAGGTGAAGTGTATGAGCACAACTAAGACAAATACAGTTTGGGTATTCATTTTACTGTTCATCTTTATTTTCTCATCCAAATAAGTCTACAAAGGTAAGTAAAGTAAAACAGGTGAATCGGCCTGCTTGACATGCAGTGTTTAACTGGGATCTGCAAGTTTTGAGCACTGGCTTCTTTGACAGCATCTGCAACCTACAGTCACCTATGCCGACCCTTCGTAGGAGACGTTTATGCTCCGATTTAGGGAGAAGCATAACTCCAGTTTAAGACATCAACTAATAAAAGGATGATGTGATGTGTCAGGATAACTTCTTCAGCTAGGCAGATTACTTACTGTTCACATTTGTTTTGCAGTAATTATACAGAGCTGCACATTGCATGTAGAAAGGATGACTTAGACCCTTTGCAGAAAGAAATGGATGACAGCTGGATGAAATGGAACACTTCCACCCACCCATCCACCCATTCATTATCTATACCTGCTGATTCTTTGCAGGGTTCCTGGGGGCTAGAGTCCTGCCCAGGCCTATTAGGAGAGACGTTATCCATCCATCCATTATCTATACCGCTTATTCCTCAATACTCCCAGCTAGGGGGTTGGAGCCAATCCAGTCTGACACTGTGCGAGAGACCGGGTCCACCCTCCCTGGACAGGTCGCCAGTCTATCACAGGGCTGACATGTAGACAAACACACACACACTCACTCCTAGGGGCAATTTAGAGTTGCCAGTCAACCTAAGCTGCAAATCAATACGGAGATTTTACATTAAACATATAGTTGAACGCAGTGTGTGCTTTACTTTGAACTGGAACAGAGGACCCTGTCTCATTAGAAAAGAAATCACACATTTCATTGATCGTGATTAACACGAGACTACATGGAACTAGTGCAGTCAGGTGGATGAAAACCTGTTGTTCCGTGTCAAAGACTCCCACAGATACATGGAAGGCTACCTGGAACCCTTTATAAGACACGCTTTCTTCCAAAATCTATAAACGCGGCTCTTGCAGACCCATAACTGCCAAACTAGTGCACCATACCTGCCGGTCATAAGTTGGCTCCTGGATGGGCTGCAGAGCGGCTGCACATAATAGTTCTCCAGTTTGACTCCCTGCGCTGCCAGCCGGTCCAGTGTCGGGGTTTTGATCTCGGAGCCGTGGTACCCAACATCTCGGAAACCCTGATCATCTACCAGGATAAAAATGATGTGCGGCTGAGAACTTGGCTTCTCAAATTCATTCCCTTGATTGCGCAGCCGAGTGTTCCAGTTTTCCCACGACACTTGAACGCTCCACGTCTGAGAAACGATGAAGCCGAGGAATAAACTCACAGGGACCCACAAAATAACAATCCTTCAGCCTGATTTAGACCCACAGGTTCCTGTTGGTCGGTCGGACGCTGTGTGCGGGTGTCAGCGTGTTGCACATGTTCAGGCGGAACTGCAGCAGTTGGAAATCGGGTTCACATCGTGCTCTGCATATATCCCACCACAGTTTGCTGACAGCTTCGCGGTTTGTAGACCAAAAAAAAAAAAAAAAAATAAATCAGAGGCGATAACACGTGGAAACCAAATTCTTCTCCTGTCAAGCTGGTGTGTGTGGGTTTTACAACACCCTCTGCATTCTGCGAATCTTACGTTTAAAAACTATATGTCCATGAAAGGTTTGTCACTGCATATAGCCTGTCAAACCTCCAGCTGCGAGGTTTTTGTCAAAAGACCCGCAGAACATCCAGAGTACCATCACACACTCCAACAGCTGGTGCAGTGTGTTCACAGCAGTTGTCCTCCATCCTGTCAACTACTGTCCTTCCAAGCTGGGAGCACACTGGGGATTTGACACTGGATGTGCTCTTGAGCACGCAGGTCCATGTGTATGTCCGTCCTCTGCAGCTCCACACTAAATCACGATGCGTTCACGAGCAACTCGAAAACCTTTGCTTTGGAAGTGGGAGGGAAAGCAGCATGCAGCTCATATGGTTACTGTGTAATGTTTATTTGCTGTTGATCAGCAGCTTTTTTTGTTTTTCCAGTAAAAGCCACACTGGTTTTAAAATACAGCTACTGTACAAAAAAAGGATAGTGATACAACATTAGTTTTATTTTGTCACATGTTTTGTCAATTGTGACCACAACATTCAGTAGACTTGTCCACAATATGGTCATTTTGCATTCTCTCATGGATGGATTACCAGATGGGCCTACCACGCACAGGCCCAAGGGCCCAAGGTATCAGGGGACCTTGGGCCTGTGCATCTGTAAGAGGTGATATATTTGTAGGTTGAAAGTCATAGAGCACAAGCAGAAACTAAGAGACACAAAACAACCATCAAGATGTGAAAAGTTACCCTAAAACACACAAAGTTATTATAAAGTGCTGAAAAATGACCAAAAACTAACAAAAATACTAGAAAGCAATGGGGGAAAAAGCCCACAAAGAGAGGCAACGCGAACTCAAAGACATGCAAAATGACTACAGATGTGTCCATCTGGGAATCCTTTGTGTGTTTGTGTATGTGTGTCTTATAATCTGTCCATGCATTCTCTGAATTCAAAATCAAAACCTTATTTACTGTTCTGTAAATATGTTCAGAGAGCTGAACATACTTCCAGACTGCACTGGTCACATATTGTAAGTATTGCAACAGAAAAGAGCAGAGCAGAGTTGCACAGTCTGTTGGAAAAGGTTTAGTAGTGGGATTTGGTCCAGGTGGGCATGCTCTAGTTCCAGGGAGCCAGCATCTACAAGATCATGAAAAAGCCTTTGAAAATGCGATAATCTACTGGACATCAGTCATAGGTCACAGAGAGCAATAATCAAAAAGTATCTTAGAAAGTGCTGAGGTCGCAAATTAAGCTACATGGAGGCCAGATAGCCTATATAAATAAATGATAAGCATAACAAAAGATCCCAAGTATACACTGACATAGACTGTTTCCATAGCACAGCCTCCTCTGCACCCTGTCAACTCTTTCCTTTCGCTGGGAAACCACAATATTTCTGAAATTCACTTTGAAAAAATTAAATTAAATTTGTAGCCCTATGCCTTATCACCTGGGTGAAAAGTCATGACAGCCACATGATTCAAAAATACTGATGTCCTACAACCACCCCAATACACCCTTCTCATTTTGTAGAGAATTTAATTAAATGAAATCACTCTGAAATACTGTAATCAGCTTATAAAGCACCTAAGCTCTGTTAACCTTGTTTATTGAACACTCACTGGTTGCTGAAGTCCAAGAAAAAATACATGTCACACAATTACTTCAATATGCTGCTTGTAGGTTAGACCCAGTCGGGTAAAACTGCGTGTCCAACCTCAGGCCCTGTATTTTTCTCTACATCCTCTGGTCACAGTGCAGCAGGACGTAAAATATATCCACAAAACCAGGCGCAGTTGAAAAATTTCTCATTTACAATGGTGGATGTCAGGCAAGCTCACATAAACTCACAACTGCCTGGAGAATATGGCCATTCAAGGAAATCCTTAAACCATCACGTAAGACTTTATGAACGAGTGTTTGTGGGGCTTGTATAAACCGAGCTGATTCGGCATACAAGTTCTAGAACATAAGCACAACTCATTTTTTGAGCTCTAGGTCACATCTAAGATGAAAATTCACCATTGCAACATTGTAGATAAGTCAGAAAACAAAGAAAAGCATGCCATGGGCTCTTTAAATATTATTAATTATATCAATCAATCTATCTATAGATAGATAGAGGTATGTTTAATAGAATGTTGTCTGAGTTTCATCAAGAGCTGCAGGCTTCCTTCTGTTTGGGAGCTACAAGTCTTTGTGCCAAGTATGCACCACAACAACATTTCCAGTTATACAAAAAACTTCCTGCCACTGTACAAGCTGGAACCCTTTTGGCTGCTACAGCGCTAGTGTGTCACCATTTCCGTACAGCCCTTAAGTTTAAACCAATACAGCAGAATGACCCCAGAGTGTAAGAAGAATCAGTGCTGAAGTGTTGACATGGAAGTTATGGATTATCCACATGATGTGTAGCACTCACCAAGGCACTGTTATTGGCTCAGACATTCCATAGTGAGTTGACAGTGGGGCAGGTGAAGTCTCTCAGTGTAGATAACTCCTGATCCACAGATAGAAAGAGAATGTTAGCTATGTTGAGATTTGATTGTTGGGATGCAGTCCTGGTTTTTAGCCCATTTAAAGCAACAAGTCCTCCAACCAAAACACAATATATATTCAGTGTTTCTGCCTTAAAAAACAACCCATAGGACCCTTCCAGCAGCACATTAACTACACCTTTGTGGTCATGGTAATAATCATACAACCATTCCACCAGCAAGCATTATGGAAACAATCATAAACACATGGTTATAATTATGGAACGGCCATGGTTTTTATTATGTTCAAACACAAAGACATCTCGTTTAGGTTTAGAAACATATTGTGGTCTCTGTTGTCATGGTTACAGTAATAAATGCGCAGCTGTGGTTGTGGAAAGGTCCTTGATAAAAAGCAAAATATTTCACACAGGAATCAAACACCAGTCTGCTGTGGGGAAAGTCCTGTGGTTTCTGAGCCACCCATCCATCCACTCTCCATCCAAGACCGACTTGGCTGCAGCTCAAGTCTCTTACATGATTGATCCTCGATCCTTGCTTGATTTGGAAGTCAGTCCGGTTGAACAAGGGTCAACAATGTTCTAAGACTTATACCTGCACTGAAGAACAAGGAGTGAGGAGACTGCCTGGAGGAGCCATGAGCAAGGTTATGCCAGACCAGAGGACTTCAGGGGATGTGCAGTGTGAGAGAAAAATAAAGCAAATAAATAAACCAAGTAAATACATAAATAAACTGTAAACATCAAACTTCAGTTAGGCTATGTGTGGGGCAACATGGATGAGGGAATTTGTATAAATTTCCATTCTCTCCTCCCTGATTTTTGCATCCCTGAATGGGAATGCCTTAAAATACATACAGCATGAGATCAAACATACAAATTCTTGCAGTGCTGCTTTTCTTCTTTTTCTCCCCACTGGGACTCCTTAGTAAATATGAACACTGTGTACACCGTGACATCTTCCTTGTTTACAGCCCACTAGCGCCCTGCACTTTCACTGAGCTCTCACACATGCACAGTTACGTAAGTCTTGCTTTACTACAGGTGCTTTTGGGGCGGCAAATATACTGGTCTGGTTATTTCGCAATGAAGAAACATGCCCCCCAGTGCAGTGGTGTGTTTCACTGATCTGGTCTATGGCACTGATGAATAAGCTAATCCACTTTGGGCACTGACAGACATTAACTGACAATAGAAGCAGTTTACTCTTGGTTTTAGCCTCTGTAAGGGGAGTGTTGAAAATATTGTATCCATTAAGGCTAAACTGGACCTGAAAAGTGTTCTTGTTAGTTAATGTTAATTATTTTTGGTATATTTTTCATTTGACATTAAAATGGTTTAATAATCTTAGAACTATGTTAACATGATGTGAGGCTCAGTTACCACCATTCATCCTGAACACATCCAGTAAAGCAGACCATCTGGAAACAACTTATTCCACCTTTATACTAATCTAGAGAGTTAGCGGGTCTACCCAATCAATGGCGATGTGATCTTTTGACCTTTGAGCACATACACTCCAAGTAGAATGTCTGGTGGGTGTTAAAACGTATAACGAGCAGCAGGCGCTACCAGTGAACAGCGATTAGGAAACACAACACATTAGCAGCCAGCTCCAGCTCCTGGGTTTTACAGGTCTGATGTGGCAAAAACAAGCTGTTTAGTAGTATTTCATGTCTATTACACTTTTAGACAATGGAAACCCCTGTTAAGATGATTACCTATTTTACCATGTCTTGGATAGCCTACAATTTTAATTTTAATATTTAGTCATACAATTTTTTTTAAACATATAGCATTAGTGAATCAGGGGTCGATGATCGGATGAATGTAATACAATTGCAAAATGATATTAGATTTATCACCTCCATCGCTGGCCCCCAACCCTGGCGATTGCTTTGTCTGCCTGTCAGACAGGCCTCGGCACAGAAACCTCACCACGCCAAGACAATAAGCCCTGTTTGTTACTGCTCGGCTGAGTTCAAGCATGCTGTTCTCTTCAGATAGAATCAGAGGCTGTTTGACTTTAGTTGTGCAGCTGAGGTGACTGAGAACAAGAATTCTCACCTGTCACCACATATAGGGCTTAAAGAAAATGGGTTTGGACAGCTTCGGTGTGTTTACATACAAATTAACTGGAAGAAGGAGGATTAGAATATTTTATTTTTTCTGCTAAAGCAAGAGCAGGTAGTTTTTGGAAAAGAGCAGGGGAGGATTTCTCTCTCTTTGTCCTAACTCCAGATTTATATGAATTGTTTTATTTATTATATTTCCCATGTCATATTAATTTTTTTAAAACTGTCTGAAACTACACTTAGTGCTGATCCATGCGTGGGATGTTCTACTGTGTGTTTAATGTGTCTTGTCTGTCTAATTTGTTTAGCACTGTTTTGTTCTGTTTTGTGCACATTTTAACTGGGACCCAAGACAAGTCTGCAAATGAAAATCAGCTTTAAGCTAACTCTGGTTACAATACATCAAATAATAACACTTGTGGTTAATATTGTACATAGTCCCTTACAAATAAAATACAATTTATATTGGATTATTAAATGGGATGCACCATTTTGTTATTTCACAAGATTATTTTGCAAGATGTTAACTGCTTCTAATGTGCTATTTGATGGATATGTGAAAACTTTGTGCTATAATTTACATTTTGAATTCACATTTTAAATGATTTAAGCCTTTTAGTTATTATTGATATTGTATCAGTTCATTATTGTTGTATTCTTCTGAGCTATCAGAAGGAGAATGTGTGCCCCTCTGTGTGCTGATAGCTTTCTTACAGTCAAAGACTAAAACATCTGTGGTTTTGACTACTTTGTCCATGCAACACCTGAAATTAAAGAGAAATTCCAAGCCTCTAAAGCAGTGACAGAAATGAACATGTTACCAGTGGTGAAGGGTTTGACACCCCAAGTGAGTGCAGATCAGGGAAAGTTAAGGACAAATTGTTGAGAAAAGCAAACACTTCCAGAAAAGCTAGTTGCCCCTTTAGGTAGTAAGTGTTGAAGCAAAGGTATGCGGGCCAAGTGGACACTCTTGTTTCATCCTTGACTTGTCCATACACAACACATCTGGGGCGGGAGAGCCTGAGTCCAAAGGCAAAGCAGACAAAACATACTTTAAAAAGGCATAGCTGAGCTTCATCCAAGCATGGGCTGTTTCAAGATCACAATGTTTGTGTCTGGGCTTTTGCTACA